GAAGGAAATTTTCTCATTTTTACCACACAGAATCCTTTTCCAGAAGCTAACCATTCTAGACTTTACTAAAATACTAAGTGGTATTCTACCCAGCTCTCCATAAACAATACAATGAGGAGTAGTCTTTTTAACTTTCAAAATTTTTTTACAAAATTCCATATGAAAGGATTCTAAAATGTTACAGTTTTCAAAACCCCATACTTCTACACCATACAACAATATAGGTACAACCATGAAGTAAGTCAAGTAACTATACATTTAGGAGTTATCTTTCATTGACAATATGGAGGAATGATCCATAGAGAACAGGAAAAAAGACATTCGTATTTTTTTACGGCGGCACAACGTTTTAAATTCAGTGAAAGATTTACAATTTAAAAAGACAGACAAAACAAATACATCAAATCTATTTTAAAGCTTCAAAAGTGTATGAAGATATATACAGCTTTTTTTGAAAGATCCAAATGTATTTCAATGAATAAAATTTTAATTTTTATATTCGATATTCGTTGCCAGGCGTTCCCCGTCTGTCTGTAAACGTTTCACATTTCTTCTCAGTAAACTGATGGACAAACTTAAACAACGTTAACGTTGTTACAAATCATTATTGGTAACTTAAGGATAATTTTAAAGTATTCTGTGAAATTTTACTAATGAAGTATTAGATATTTGATGTCTCAAAAAAAAAGAAATGTGAACGAGAAAAGGGTGGGGAAACAAAAGAGTATTTTAAAACCTTTATACATCGATGAAAAATATTTTTAGATTTTTAGCTCACCTGAGCCGAAGGCTCACATTTTGTCCGTCGTCTGTCCGTCTGTCCGTCCGTCTGTAAACTTTTCACATTTTCGACTTCTTCTCAAGAACCACTGGGCCAATTTTGACCAAACTTGGTACAAAGCATCCTAGGGTGAAGGGAAATTTATGTTCTTAAAATAAAGGGCCAAGTCCCCTCACAAGGGGAGATAATCAAGAAAAGACAAAAATAGGGTGGGGTCATTAAAAAATCTTTTTCTCAAGAAACACCGGTCCAGTAAAGCTGATACTTATGTTGAAGCTTCCTTGTATAATGTATATTATAAATTGTTCAAATCATGACCCCCGGGGGAAGGGCGGGGCCACAATGGGGAATCAAAGTTTTACATAGAAATATATAGGAAAAATCTTTGAAAATCTTCTTCTCAAGAACTACTGGGCCAGAAAAGCTGAAACTTATGTGGAAGCATCCTGGGGTAGGGTAGATTCTAAATTGTTCAAATCATGACCCCCGTGGGAAGGGCGGGGCTACAATGGTAAATCAAAGTTTTACATAGAAATATATAGGAAAAATCTTTGAAAATCTTCTTCTCAAGAACCACTTGGCCAGAAAAGCTGAAACTTATGTGGAAGCATCCTTGGGTAGTATAGATTCTAAATTGTTCAAATCATGACCCCCGGGGGAAGGGTGGGGTAACAATGGGGAATCAAAGTTTTACATAGAAATATATAGGAAAAATCTTTGAAAATCTTCTTCTTAAGAACCACTGGGCCAGAAAAGCTGAAACTTTATAGAAGGATCCTTGGGTAGTGTAAATTTCAAAATGTCTAAATTATTATCAGTGGGGTTAGGTGGGGATGCATTGTGTATTATAAGAAGGAAATCTGGTAAAGAACAGAATGGTCAAAGCTTCTCAGGTGAGTGATGTGGCCCATGGGCCTCTTGTTATAAATATATTTAGGGTAAAAGGTAATATTCTGAAATTAACAACTTCATATTTGATTTAAGAAGTGTGTCTTTTTTTTCTCAGTAAAAATCTTCAAAGAAACGAAGTAATGAGAAAGTGTTTAAATGAGGGACTAATAATCTTTTGAAAGGGAGACAATCAAGGAAATTGCAATATTATGGTACATTCATAACGAAATCTTTTTCTCAGTAACGACTATGCCAGAAAGTTAAACTTGCGCTGTCTAAGATAGGGTAGTAATAAATTGTTCAAATTATGACCCTAGGGGTAGGTAAGCCTTAATAGGGAAATAAGATACCTTGAATTTTTAATAAAACCAATGTTTTAAAAAACCTTTCAGAATTATATGTAATTCATCTTCCGAGAAAAATCACTGTACCAGAAAAAAAGTTAATGTAAATGCAGCTTGAGGCAGTGTTAAGTTTTAGTTGTTTAAATCAGATTCCCAGGGACTTGTGTGATTGAGGCTAATTATAGGATGGAAGGCTTATATTGAAATAAATGTGACAAATCTTTCTACATCCACTAAAGGAAAACAATAGACCGTAAATTTAATTTAAACATATTTAAGGAATAACTGCCTTATTTTTCGATTTCATGATGTGATCAATCGATTGGGTTGCGTGATAATTTGCATAAAATTATCACGCAAGCCAATCGATTGATCATCGTCATGAAATTGAAAAATCTGACAGTTATTCCTTATATTTACATGCTTTGATTCCGCCAATCCACGGGCTCCAAGCCCTGCTTCTGTCTAGCTGTTTGTCCAGCCCTGCATGTGGGTTTTTTGGAACCGCGCCAATACATTGATGGGGAAATAAAGTACATTTACAATTTATAATTTTATCTCGGACAAAGACATTGGAAATGTAAATATTGAAATATAAACATATTAGATACATGTTTTCCAACTAAGACTGCATGTCCTCTCCTCTCCTAATAAGAACACGTTGATTCAATATTGTTTAAAGCATGATCCTTTCAGGAAGGATGTGCCACAACGGGGATTTAAAGTTTACCATAAGCTTTCTGAGGTCATGTAGAATTTTTTTCATATCATAGCTGGTTATTGCATGGCGCAGTGGTTGGAGCATCTGCTCAAGAGTTGCAAAGTAAGTAGATGATCCTTACGTATCAGAATCCTACCATTGGATTTGTAGACCGGTCCTTCGGATGAGACCTTATAAACCGAGGCCCCTGCTGAGTAGCCCTTAGTGTGAGTATAGGACAATATACGTAGCTCTCCACGACCAAATGGTGGAGTTTCCATATAAGTGAAAGGGGCGTTAAACAATAAACAATCAATCATTTCATAGCCCTTATTGCGGATTTGTAGGGTGAGTCCACAATAATGGACAGAAGTTTTACATTGAACTTAACAAGAAGAATTTAAAATATTTCTCAAGCACTAAATTTAATGTATTTTAAATTTCCAATGATATCAAAGTTGTATTAATTCATATTCATATTTCTTCAAATTATAGACGTTTTTTTAGAACTGGTTAAAATCAAGATCACATCTTATGCTATGCATGAGTTTAAGGGAAAACAATTTTCTTTGCCGAACCTAAAGGCTATGTTAGCAATATTGATATTGAAGAACAATCTGTTGTGCGGATTCAGAGATCCACTAGAGTTTGGGTTAGGTACGTTATAATAAGTAAATGTTATTATATGTAAAGATTTTTTTTTTTTTAATCGTAATGATAGATCAGCAGTTTTATACATGTACTCATTATGACTGTGTGCGTGAGTTTCCAGCTACCTCAACATATCTCTGGGATTTTAGCAGAACAGTCGAAGTAAAATAAGGAAAACCACATGGAGATTACTTGGAAAAACTGTTCATCATCTATTTTTCAGTTAATGGAAATCTTTTATATTAATTATGTATGATTCAATACTTTTGTATTCAAAGCCCTCATTATATAAATAATTAATATTTTCCGCGGTACGGAGATTAGCGGAAAATAATTGTCTTATTGATTCGGAAATAAAGTTATCCAATGAAATTAGAGGTTTAAACTCACGTGACGTGAGTCTATGAGATGTGTTCGAATAGCACGAGAAATCAGTTCTAGCCCGTCTTCTGAAGAAGACAAGTCAAATTTTATTATAATATTATTGTAATAATATGCTAGATAATCGTTTATCATATATATATTTTTTAGAGGCTGTCATATTATATTATAGGGCAAAAGGTTTCCAGAGGTTTTTCTACTTTGAAAAAGTCAAAAGTTTTTTATCTCTGGTTTTCATCCTGGCCATCCAAGTTTTGTATAGATCTATACCACACTAAATAAGGGGTTTTTCTATTGATACATCTGTATTAAAAAGGAAGTTATATGACTTTTGTTTTCATGTATATTGTGTTTGAATGTATGTGTTATAATAAATTTCCGGCTCCCCGATATGCTTCCTGGGCTAGTCGGCAAATATATATTTGCGTTTTGTCTTTTGTAAGAATAGAAAAGACCATAAACTTATCCATTTTCTTATACTGCATAAGGAAGCCGCGGAAAAGCATCACTGAAATGACGTAAATACATCTGCAATACCTCGTGATCTATAATCATTGTGTGTTTTTAATCACCCCATCAGATAGAAAACTCTATCAAACCTTGCATTAGCGCCTTGAAGCATTACACTGCAATACTCCAGTTGCAATTTTTTGAAATCGGTCAATCATTTGTTCTCGCAATTTTTATTTATGGATACAGAAATCAAAACACGTTTACAGCAAACACATCATTGAAATAAACTTGAAAACTTGACTTGAAACAGTTCTGTAGGAAATAGACTTTAAAAGCCATATACTAGGACGGTATGATTGACGTTTCTCTATAAAACCCATACTTGGTATTACCGGTATTCTGTCGTTTGCGTCCTCAAATTTCCACACATTCAAATGAATATGATCATAAAAGTTCTAATTAAACCAGTTTTATTTTTTATGGAATCTTCAGCTTCAGTTTTTCTATCATTAACCGAATAGTTCGTGCAATCAGAAAAACTGAGAATACTCTCTTTCAAAAACCGGAATATTTTTAATTCATTATATTATTGTTCTATGAGTCAAATCAGTAAGATATTAGATAACTCTTTAAATCATTAAATGTAATGTTTTTTGCTTCAATCCACAGAAAGAAACACATCCTACTTGTTTCTTATTTCATAATTAATATTGATTTTTTTTTCATTTAGCACCATGATGCATACATTTTATAATTCAATAAATTAAGATGAATTCAGTGATATATTCTTTATTTAGTAAACATATTAATCTGCATGAACTAAATGTCCAGTGAAAGAAGAGTAGCCCGATCCTTTTATAAAGTTCCCGTTAGTGCTGTAATGGCGAACCCAGACATCGGAGCCGACGTTCAGATGAACTGTAGAAGCACACGTTCCAGTGGACTCATAAGTCCTAGAGCCTCTACCACGACAAAGATAGGATCCATCCCGTACCAGTTCAAAGTCTATGTAGTCGCTAGAATAAGACTGGACACTTGCAACAAAGTGATAAATACCTGCGATTGGTGCCTTAAACCGTCCAACATGAGCATTATAAGCATCCCCTTCATTAAGTTTAACTGCGTTATAGATAATGGCTTCATTGTAAGCAACAGGATGCACATCACTCGACAAGTAGGCAGAAAAAGCAACTGCGGGACTGGCAGGATTACCTAATGTGTAACGTTCATTGTTTTAAAGATACTCAAATTGTATTACACATGTATCTTATATTTTCCTTCTATATTGTAGCCATGTGATTAAGGAGATATATTTACTCGAATGTAACATATATTTTACGAAAATACAAGGGAAAATATTTTCTAATCTTATTACTTTTATAAAACTACAGAGCAAATTATTTTCTTTCTTACATTGCTAAAGGGCCTCTTATCAAATAAAAAATCAATATTTATGTTAGTTTTCTATTTTAATGTGTTTTTTTTTAATCGCAAAGGATTTTATTTAAAAAAAGTAAATAAAAGTCAACTGAAAACCCATTGACAATATTTTTGATGTTACTAAACAATAAAAAATAAAAATACCACACACTTGCTCGTTTTTCTGTTTCCTTTACTAAGCAAGTCCTGTGTTCTTTTTCAAGTCTATTGATTCTTTTTTCTAAGTCCTCAAATTTTGATGCGTCGTTTCCATTACAGAATACAAGAGCGCACACAAGAACACACACACGTAACATTCTGCAGCAATTCGAAGTCTGTATTAAAATTGTCAGACCCCTTATCTCTTACATAAACCAGGGCAAAGGTACCTTGACATGTTAAACTAAAATAATTCACGGAGTAAAATGTTATTATCAATTAATTCTATGAAGAAATCTAAAAGTCCTTAAGCAGATAAATAAAAAGAAGCAAGGAAAGCCTCTCTCCCTTTAAAAGAAATGAAACTTGAAAGACAGAGAGAAAGAATGAAAGAAACACACAAACAAAAAGAAATAAACAAAATGAAAAAGAAATAAGAAAATAACAACAACAAATGAAAAGAAACAAACCAACTAATAAACAAACCAAAATTGAAAGAAAAAATCAAGCAAATGTCATGATGTAAACTTTGAATTTACTAGGGGTGGAAAATGTAAAAAATTGACCACATGATTCGAAAAAAAAAATTTAAAAAAACGAAATTTTATTTTAGCAATGAGTCAGAAATGGTTATAAAGATTTTTCAGTAAAGAACTTTCTAGAATTGTGGTTTTTAAAAAGGGATTGAAAGAAAAATTACAATTAAGTTATTTGATATGAATACAGAAACATTAACGCTTTAAAATCATACTTTGATTTTTTCCCAGAATTCCGCATCGTCAAATGTAAATATTGGGCAAGAATACAAACGTATATCTATTCGAAATATTTACAATGCAGATCTAAACATACCTTCTGTGTTCCCTAAGAACCATATTTAAAAGATGTGGATTATGATACTTCTTCGTTAGACAATTCCCTTAAACATTCTCTAGATCAGTCGTTTTTGTAGAATGGCTTTAGTGGTTTCTTATGACAAGTAATTGTTTTTTTTTCAGTTTTAATAAGAGCTCTTGATATATATATAAGAAATAGGTTGTTTGTCTACACGTAAAAAAGGAGATCAATAAAATAACTATCTTTAATTCCTTCAATATTTACAAAATCAAATGACCAGTGAATACTGCATAATTATTTCCCTTGGCATCGTTACCGTTGGTGCTTTTATGCCTTACAAAAACCCTCCCTCCATCTGGAACCTGGAGAATAGCGGAACAGATGCCCATCGACTGGTTAGTTGTTGTAGTGCGTCCAGCACATACCTCGCCGCCATTAAATATCATTTGGAAATCCAGATTTCGGCCTTCAGTTGACCACATGGTTGCTATAAACTGGTATACCCCAGTAGATGTGGCTTCAAACATTCCCGTGAGCGTGTCATATGTATTCCCCTCGTTCGTGATGACGGAGTCGTAAGCAATGATTTGATTGGAGCCTAGCGGGTAAATGTTTGATACCAATCGTGCATGGAATACAACTGGCTGTATGGAACAATTTACAGCTGCAAATAAGTGATCAATTCAATTACAGAAGCATCGTCAGAAACCCACGGGTGATCTCGTCTTTACTTATCACCCGTGGGCAAACTCGCCGAAATTTCGTCGTATGTAATTAAATATGCATGGGTCATTTGATTGGTCGCATTACAGAGTCCATCGTCGGAAACCCACGGGTGATTTCGTCTTTACTTATCACCCGTGGGCAAACTCGCTGAAATATAGCCGTAAAATATGCTAATTTGTTGTTATCAGAAAGATACGTTTATTACTTTGCTATTGATGGTAAATATTACAAATTGACGCTCGTTAAAACGTGCGAAGTTTGATTTAAAACAAGTACAGCATGAACAGGTCACTGACATTAATATCCGTCAGATCTTATGAAGGAGTACCTCTTTCTAACTGCAAAATGCACCGTTGAGTGGATTTATCAGCTGTGTTAACTACGGAATGAGTTTTTCATGTTTTTTGGCAGTGCCGAACTTGCAAACGTAGCGTGAACTGTGATTCGTTGTTCACGCATTCTCAATTTATAGTGCCAAATCGACTTTGGGAAAAGTCAAATAATTTTGTGAACAGAAACTAACACTTTTATATGTCATTTGAAACATTGAAGTGTATAGTTATTAAAAATCACAATTTGATTTACATACTTCATGCTGTGTTTTGTTGACCTCCTTCGAAATGAATGTGGTTGGAGGGCTAATTTTACACCAAGATATTTACATGATGTTGAAAAGCCATATTTGGAAAGGAAAGAATTTTAGTGAAAAATACAAAATTAAGATAATACACTCCGAATTTTGTTAACTATAAACATTTTTGAAACCGTTTAAGCACATTTGTAAAAGGGTGTGGAACCTTTGATTCAATTATTAGTAAAAACAAAACAGGCATAATTTTCACTTAAATGGAATTATTTTCTTTTTATTTTAAAAAGTTTTTATCAAATCTGACGATAAGCTAAATGATGACAACATTACCTAAAATTATTATTCATTCATTCTTTATGAAATGATTCTTCATTATTTAATTCTTTATCAATCTATTCAGAAAAACGCACATTATTTAAAATATCAGCAGGTAAAATATTTCGCCATTACCTGATTACGAAGTGTTTGTTAAATATCACGTAAATATCGCACATAGATATCATACAAAAATAAAAGTATATTCGGGGAAAATGAATATATTATTTCAAATTATTGAATTTTATGAATTTTCTTATCTGTGTTCTTGACAAAGGGTTGAATTGAAAATTCAAGTTATTACTTATCTGTAGAGGAATCATTTAATTTATGACACCCCCTTCCATCATTTAATCTGTTGATTATTTCAATTGCTTAACTGCTTGTGAAAACTTTATCGTCAAATCTCTAAAACAATACAAAGTTACCCCCACCACCCTTAAAAAGGTTTGTTAATAATTACATTTGCAAATAATATGTGCTCTATAGAGCAATATATGTACATTCTACATTAATATAACGTAAATTGAATTTTCAGTACCATTAAAGCATAGATGCATATGTTCTAAGTTCTACATGTATGTCTAAGCAACAACTTAAATTGGAAAAATCAGGTGCACAATTTAATACATGTATTTCTTATGCAAAGCAACAAAAATGGAAATGGATTCAATATCGACCAGCTTCTTGACACCCAACACTCACAGCCGTATTTTTTCTTTAACCCGATGTGGAAGCCCCCCCCCTCCCCCCCCCCCCCATGCAGCTCATCGCCTTTTCTGTGGCATTATATTTCCTACGAAAAATGATAGTTTCTTCTTCAAAATGTTTAGCTTGGTATACAATTTAAGTGTATACTACGATTTTTTTAAGTTGATGATACACTATCAGTTCAAACAACCAGCAAAATACAAACTTTAAGAAAGTTTTGTTTCCGATTTATGTTCTGAATGATAACGTGCATTACACTTAAAACTATGCAATATTAACCAATTGCTCACATTGGAAACATTCGATCATTTAACCACAATTTTACTTGTGAGTAATATTACTCGTATGTCAATTCAATTTTCAAATCACACGGATGCACAATATATTGTGTAAAAAGGTTCACCTTTGCATGTGCACTTCCATTTGCATTTCTGCACTCTTGTTACAAAAAATAATGCCATTTTAATGTTTTTTGTAAATATCTTTCTGAGATTTATCGTAACTTTTAATTCATCGATATTTACGTGTTAGTATTTATTCACAAATTAAGTAAGAGAACTTCACTGTTTCCTATGGGTCAAATTGCCTTACACTCAAGCACTAGAATATGCCTTTATTTAAAAGTGGAATAATTAAACAACAGCATTAAAAGTTACGATAAATCTCAGAAAGATATTTACGTTACCGATATTTACGTTACCAATATTTACGTTACCATGTTTTAAGTAAATTAAAATTAAAATCTTAAGCTGTTTGAACAGATTTTCAAGTGAATTTTAATTATTTAAAAGAAAAAAACATGAAGAAATACACTCTTTCTTAAAATGGCATTATTTTTTGTAACAAGAGTGCAGAAATGCAAATGGAAGTGCACATGCAAAGGTGAACCTTTTTACACAATATATTGTGCATCCGTGTGATTTGAAAATTGAATTGACATACGAGTAATATTACTCACAAGTAAAATTGTGGTTTAATGATCGAATGTTTCCAATGTGAGAAATTGGTTAATATTGCATAGTTTTAAGTGTAATGCACGTTATCATTCAGAACATACATCGGAAACAAAACTTTCTTAAAGTTTGTATTTTGCTGATTGTTTGAACTGATAGTGTATCATCAACTTAAAAAATCGTAGTATACACTTAAATTGTATACCAAGCTAAACATTTTGAAGAAGAAACTATCATTTTTCGTAGGAAATATAATGCCACAGAAAAGGGGCTGCGCTGCATGGGGGGGGGGGGGGGGGGGGCTTCCACATCGAGTTAAAGAAAAAATACGGCTGTGAGTGTTGGGTGTCAAGAAACTGGTCGATATTGAATCCATTTCCATTTTAGTTGCTTTGCATAAGAAATACATGTATTAAATGTATTAAATTGTGCACCTGATTTTTCCCATTTAAATTGTTGCTTAGACATACATGTAGAACTTAGAACATATGCATCTATGCTTTAATGGTACTGAAAATTCAATTTACGTTATATTAATGTAGAATGTACATATATTGCTCTATAGAGTACATATTATTTGCAAATGTAATTATTAACAAACCTTTTTAAGGGTGGTGGGGGTAACTTTGTTTTGTTTTAGAGATTTGACGATTAAGTTTACACAAGCAATAAAGCATTTGAAAAAATCAACGGATTGAATGATGGAAGGGGGGTGTCATAAATTAAATGATTCCTCTACAGATAAGTAATAACTTGAATTTTCAATTCAACCCTTTGTCAAGAACACAGATAAGAAAATTCATTAAATTCAATAATTTGAAATAATATATTTATTTTTCCCCGAATATACTTTTATTTTGTATGATTTATCTATGTGCGATATTTACGTGATATTAAACAAACACTTTGTAATCAGGTAATGGCGAAATATTTTACCTGCTGATATTCTAAATAATGTGCGTTTTTCTGAATAGATTAATAAAGACTTAAAAAATGAAGAATCATTTCATAAAGAATGAATGAATAATAATTATATAATAGTGTTGCATTATGCATGTACTATGCCTAAATAGTAGGCAGGGTTTGACACATGGTGCACGAGCCGGAGGCGAGTGCACTATGTGTCAAACCCTGCCTACTATTTAGGCATAGTACATGCATAATGCAACACTATTGTTATTATTATGCTGACTGTTGTTATTATTTATGCGGCAATCCATTTGATTTTTTCCTGAAAATAATGGTGGTAACACAACGCACTTGCAAAAAGCCAAAAACTCATTCAAAATCTTCATGCTAGAATTAGTTGCATGCTTAGTTATTTTGTTTACTAGTATTTTCTCTAAATAAGTAAGAATTTTCTGTCACAAAGATACTCACCTTTATTTTCTGTTTTGTTAGTAAGACTGATTTGTTTACAGAAGTGGATTCTCATTGATAATTTTCTTTTACATCCTTCAATCAAGCGCTATATAAAAAAGCGTTTTAATGACCCCATGATATCAATTCATCTAACGATCTGTATAAAATTAGTTTGAAACTTTGTTGTACACATTTATCTCAGATTCCTTAGAATAAATATAACTGTTTTCAAATAATATTTGTCTATTTTCTCCTTGTGTCAATTGTATACATTCAGTTTATATATTTAATAAAATTCTCCAAATCAGTGATCGTCTCTGTGGCGTAATCGATAAGGCATCGGACTGGCAACCTCACGGTCGTGAGTTCGATTCCCGATATGTCTAAAGTAGAGTTTTCTTCAGAAAGTAAAGCCGTGCTCTATTTCGGCATAGTATGCTTACGCTATATAAATCCTTAGACCACTATGCGAGAATAGTAGGGTATGGGCTATATAGAGACAAACTGACAGGAAGCATAATAATCTTTAATAATATTTTCATCATTTAGCTTATCGTCAGATTTGATAAAAACTTTTTAAAATAAAAAGAAAATAATTTCATTTAAGTGAAAATTATGCCTGTTTTGTTTTTACTAATAATTGAATCAAAGGTTCCACACCCTTTTACAAATGTGCTTAAACGGTTTCAAAAATGTTTATAGTTAACAAAATTCGGAGTGTATTATCTTAATTTTGTATTTTTCACTAAAATTCTTTCCTTTCCAAATATGGCTTTTCAACATCATGTAAATATCTTGGTGTAAAATTAGCCCTCCAACCGCATTCATTTCGAAGGAGGTCAACAAAACACAGCATGAAGTATGTAAATCAAATTGTGAGTTTTAATAACTATACACTTCAATGTTTCAAATAACATATAAAAGTGTTAGTTTCTGTTCACAAAATTATTTGACTTTTCCCAAAGTCGATTTGGTACCATAAATTGAGAATGCGTGAACAACGAATCACAGTTCACGTTACGTATGCAAGTTCGGCACTGCCAAAAAACATGAAAAACTCATTCCGTAGTTAACACAGCTGATAAATCCACTCAACGGTGCATTTTGCAGTTAGAAAGAGGTACTCCTTCATAAGATCTGACGGATATTAATGTCAGTGACCTTTACTAAATTGATTTTCATTGTTTTAAATCAAACTTCGCACGTTTTAACGAGCGTAAATTTGAAATATTTACCATCAATAACAAAGTAATAAACGTATTTTTCAAAATTGAAGAGTTCTAACTTTCTGAGAACAACAAATTAGGATATTTTACGGCTATATTTCGGCGATTTTGCCCACGGGTGATAAGTAAAGACGAAATCACCCGTGGGTTTCCGACGATGTTATAGAGGATGCAGGGATATAGATGATATTTCAGTCAAGAAAAATAAATTTTAAAATCCCAGAATTGAACAGAAAATCTATTATTGCTATGTGTAATTGAAAATGTAAATTATGTAGCTGCAAGACTGGATTTCTGTTTCATATTATATTTTCTTTGAGGTCATTGTTGTTACATGTAATACAAGGATCGATTATTTTATTTTTAAAAAATCACCCAAAATGAAATTTAAGAAAAATATTTGCATTATTTTTACCTTTAAGATGCATAGACACAGATTTCAAGTTAATATTGTCTCAAATTTTCTTTATAGTATAACTTTAAATTTGTGTCTTTGCACCTTTGAGGTCCAACATACACATATTGTCCACATTTCAAGTATAATCAGTTTTATTTTACCCTTTATTTAAAATATAAAATAGAATATGAAAACACAAAAGTGAGAACTTTTGGACAGTTGTTTTAACAATAACTATGTTAGCGATAATTTGGCTTTGTCAGATAAAACACTAGGAAACAAAGATTGTGAAAATCTTAAATTAATGTCCTTCAAAAGGTTTTAGAAATAAACAGAGTTTATTACTCACCTTTCCGGGTTCTGGAATGGTAAAGTCCTTTTTCGGTAACATGATCTCGAAGCACAGAATTCAGATTTTTTTGTACAGCTAAGTCATTTTCGAGAACAACTATATTTTTTTCCAAGTTTAGAATGTCGGTTGAAAATGATGAAACAATTAGCATAAAAATATGACAAGTAAAAGTCATTAAACCCCACATGCCTAGTACACTGACTTTTCAGTACGTTTAAACTGAGAAGGAAAAATTCTTATCTTCTTTTTCATGACGTCTTGATCTAAGTACAGTAAAAACATATTTTGCCCCCCCCCCCCTCTTCCTCTCCCTATTCAGTTCAAGACAAATTTTGAAAACCTCTCGACATGTACAAAGTAGTATACACGTATATTGTATAAAAAATTTTAACCAATCTCTCTCTCTCTCTCTCATTTAAATTTTGAATTTAAGACATATTTAAAGTCATATATGGCGTAACTGATCAAATTTTTTTTTTAAAATACAAAATTCAGTAAAGAAATAAAGTTTATAATTTAAATTAAAGCTTTTTATACAATTCTGAACACGGAGAAAATCTCGTTTCATCTAATAAAACGATTTTATCTTCTCTGTAATGTGTTATTTAAATCTTTTGTATTTTCTTCCGAGTCGGAGAAAATTCCGAGAATCCAAATTAAATTGTGATATCTTTATAACGCAATTGACTTAGATTTTGTAATTTAGGGAAAAGTTCTATCTTTATATAAAGTAATGATACAAATAATAAGTTCTTATAATTTTAGTCTAATAATTTTCATTCTACATACGCCATATATGGCTTTAACATATGGCGTCAAGGGTGATGAAAACAGGTAATACATGTACTTTCAAGTCTGTAGATAGTTCCCCGGACTTAGAACATAGTTAAAATTTACCCTATCAAAGTTTGATTTAGAATGTTGATGTTAGTCATTATAGAATGTAGACCTTGAACGGTAAGTTTTCTTTGGTGATTAGATATGCGACTTTGCATCATTTTCTTTGTAATTTTATATAAATTTTTGACATACTAGTATTTTTGACATTGTGACAAATCTTACAAAATTCTACCACTTTTAATACCTGGAAAATAAAAATCGGATTACCTCTTCGAACATTAATCTATGAAAAATATTGCTGATTTCTGTATTTAAAAAATTCCTTTTGAATCTAATGATAAAGGTGTTCACAAAAACTAGTGCTAGAATTTTATAACATGTATATATAATATATCATGACGGGATATCGATTAACTTTGAATCAAATAGTCATTGCTATATAACGATGAAAGTGAAATGAACCAAAATCACACGATATAACATATCAGCTGCACTTTAAACATTTTTAGAAATTGTTTCCGTCCTTGATGAAAAGAATAACTATTTGTGGTATATAAATGAATCATTTCATTTCATATTTTGATAATAAGTGAGTTCATGCAAATTTTCACAGAGAGATTGAAAATTCAACTTTACTATTTACAATATCTGAATAACACATTCGCAACGTATAAACTTCAGTAAAAAATTAAAAGTGCAATTAATTGGCAAAAATCAAAATATTGTAAATTTCACTGATGAGGCAATTTTAATTATTATATGATTGAATAAATCCTCTATCTCTGAGTGTCTGGGATCCAACACTTTAACAAAAATACTAAAAACATTGACCTGCAAGTGACCTTCCAGGTGAATATATATACATGTATAAGGATTTATTTCCTCTGCAGTGGTCTTAAAAAAATTGGGAAATTCCAAATTGGTACAAATCCTTTAGGTAAAGCTATTTCACTGGCTACCAATATATATAACATTATAATTAACTACCACTTTTGAGGTCAACCTGGCCCACAAAGTGATCTGACCTGACCGAGGCCGCGAAGCGGCCGAGGTCAGGGCAGGTCAACGAGAGGGCCAGGTCGAGGGTCCTTATTTCACCATATTGAACTTACAAGGGGTAATTAATTGTTTTATTATACCGACATATATTGAAAAGTATGAATCTCTTATCGTTATCAATTCTTTCTTTGATGGGTGAGGTGGAAGAATCAGTGAGTGAATGTTTAATAAAAATCCACACTGATTATATAAATATACTGAATAGAATTGTTTCATTTAATCAATCAAATCATATAATAAAGCATTTATTGTTGTATTTCAAATCAATATTAATGCAATGGTTCAGCCATCTTTGAAGTGCAATTATATTAACCTCGTTCTATGCATATGGGCTCGATATATATTGTACTCCTCAAACGGCTAAATCATCGTTTTGAGCTTTAAAAAAACTTCGCCACGCGAGCGACTCGTCCGCTTTAATAATACATGTATACAATTATTGCTGTTTTTGAGGTTAATACGAAGATTTAGACACCTGAGGAATACAATATTCATAGAGCCCAAAGGACGAGGTGGATATTGTAGTTCGAAGGTGTCTAAATCATTGTATTGACCTTAAAAACCATCAAATTGAATATAACTGTTTTGTTATATAATCATCTATTTTGTATAATATAATAATATAATTAATTCCTTATATTGACCTTGAAAGTCACGTGCAGGGCAACATAACATTGTATTTTTCTAACATTGTTGGATCTCAGTCAATCAAAGAGATGGAAGTTATTCAATCAAATGAAAAACATATTTATCTGATCTTTCATTTTGTATCTGATATATCTCTTGTATAGTTATCTAAGGAAACGTAATAATAATACCTATAACCTCACGTGTTACATATACATTTGTAAAGAACAATAAACGGACATGCTGAATAAGTAAAGTGTAATTTTATCGAAATAGAAAACATTCAATAAATGAAATCTTATCTCCTAAACACGATGATGTCACTCAGGTTATCGACACGAGATTCTCGAACCCGTTCTAATTTCTGTGTCTTTGAAGACACACACATATTGCTCACAATGGTCTTAAAATTCACAATTCTGATTCCTACTCTTTTAGTTTTTCAATATGGATCGAATTCGCCTTCACCCCTATCTAATGACGTTACAGAAAAGCGGGTTCAGAAACTGTTCTTAGACCTAGCAACAAACCAAGAGAAAATAGTTAGTGCATTAAAATCAGTAAACAGAGAATCGAGGAGAATACAAAGTAAGTGTTCCTACTTATTAGAATGCAATATACAAAAACTTAGCTTTCTGGTGCATGACATTGTCTAATATGTAATTTAATCAAAATTGAATATTCAGTGTTTCAGTGTACATTTGCCGTTGCCTACAAAGTTGCGTTCTAAATAAAATACACCTAAAATTAATACTTGATATCGCGATTACTTAACTTAGCGGAACTCTTTCGCGAAGGAGGTAGGAATTGTCTGTTGGGTGGGGGCAATGTGCTATTCAATACAATGCAAGATCGATCATTGTAGCATTTACAAGGACAGATAAGAAAAAATTCCCGATGGAATACCTGGCTAAACAATCGCTGAACCAGCCTAATATATTTTTGGGAGGAGCCAATCCGAAATTGTCACATCTTTAATGATATTTTTAATTAAGCGGACTCTTCTCGTTAAATTTTCATTGAAAATTGTCACATTTTTAAGCAGATAAAATATTCTAAACTTTCCTTATTTGACAATCTACTACTTGGAGTTCAATATCTGGCAAAACATCGTGATTTCGGCATTAAACTGTTCGAATCATTCGATTGTCACTACTGTAAACATTGTCATTTGCCCCCAGAAATGTAGACTTTTCTTGACTCCCCCGCAAAAGAGCGGTAGTAAGTTAGATAACTGCGAGGTACTCATTGGTAGTCGCGATATAACGTATTGCCGTATATGTGATTTATTGTTACGAGTATGGGAAATAAATCATGGTAAATGAGTACTAAATGACACTTGTTGATGTTTAATGACAAGATTCTTACAAACTGTTAATGTTACTTCTATTTTTGTCCCCCGCTTGAAAAGTGGGGGATATTAATTTGGGTCCGTCCGTCCGTCCGTCTTTCTGTCTGTCTGTAACGCTTTCGTTTCCACACGATATCTCGAGAACGATATCTTTGAGCTTTTGTAATGAAATATTACATAAAAACTCCCTGTGGCCTAAGGAAGACCTCTATTGATTTTGAGGTCAAAAGGTCCAAGTTCAAGGTCATAAATTTATACATTCTGTCTGTATGAAACACACGTCCCCCGCATGAAAAGTGGGGAATATTAATTTGGATCTGTCCGTCCGTCCGTCTTTCTGTCTGTCTGTAACGCTTTCGTTTCCACACGATATCTCGAGAATCCTTTGAGCTTTTGCAATGAAATTTTACATAACAACTCGCTGGGGCCTAAGAAAGACCTCTATCGAGATTGAGGTCAAAAGGTCAAAGTTCAAGGTCGTAAATTTATACATTCTGTCTGTATGAATCACTATCTTTTCCGGGCGATATTTTTAGAAGATTTTGAGCTTTTGCAATGTAATTTTATACCAAGACTCCCTAGAACCCCTCTCACCCTCTCAAAGTGTCCCGCCCCGCTTGTTGTCCCCCGCTTGAAAAGTGGGGGATATGAATTTGGGTCTGTCCGCCCGTCCGTCTGTCTGTAACGCTTTCGTTTCCACACGATTTCTCGAGAACCCTTTGAGCTTTCGCAATGAAATTTTGCATTGCAACTCCTTATGGGCTACAGAAGACCCCTATCGATTTTGAGGTCAAAAGGTCAAAGGTCAAGTTCATAAATTCGCAAATTTTGTCTGTTATAACACTTCGTTTCCGCACGATATCTCGAGAATCCTTCGAGCTTTTGCAATGAAATATTACATAACAACTCCCTGTGGCCTAAGGAAGAACCTCTATTGATTTTGAGGTCAAAAGGTCCAAGTTCAAGGTCGTAAATTTATACATTCTGTCTGTATGAAACACTATCTTTTCCGGGCGATATTTTAAGAAGATTTTGAGCTTTCGCAATGTTATTTTATACCAAAACTAGACCCTCTCTCATCCCCCTCAAAGTGTCCCGCCCAGCTTGTTGTCCCCCGCTTGAAAAGTGGGGGATATTAATTTGGGTTTGTCCGTCCGTCCGTCCGTCCGTCCGTCTGTCCGTCCGTCCGTCCGTCCGTCCGTCTTTCTGTCTGTCTGTAACGCTTTCGTTTCCACACGATATCTCGAGAACCCTTTGAGCTTTTGCAATGAAATTTAGCATAGCAACTCCCTATGGACTAAAGAAGACCCCTATTGATTTTGAGGTCAAAAGGTCAAAGGTCAAGGTCATAA